GGAGCTAACTGGTTTGTTTGTCGATCTGGAGATAAAAGCATCGCTAGTGAAAGATCTGTGGGAGGAATTGGGAATCGAGTGAATGGAAATGGAACTGCAACATCTCTGCTTTGATTTTCTGGAGGAATCGAGACTGGTGGTAATTTTTTGGCGGAATTATTCGCTTCGGGCGACGGACACTTTTAAAATAGGTTTCCGGCCTTTTAGCAGTTGAACACCAACATAGCGCTAACTCGCCGAAAACGCTTCAAAATGGCCTGAGACGCTAGGAATCAACAAAGAAAACAACAAGGCAATAAGGTAAGTCTATTTTTTTCAAAACAAGACATTTTTTTCTCTCTTTTAAGGCAAACCGATAACATCCCATACAAACCTTTATAAATATAAAACGTTGCGCAACACGGTAAGAGTCACGTCCGCTTTTCTAGTAGTGAGCTTGGGCTGCCTGTGGTGAGAATTATCGATTCGTGACTGTGAGCCTTTTTGTGCATGTAAACACCATTGTAAACATCTAACTAGAGTCCTTTGAAAACCATCATCGCTTCTTGCAAATCTCAATGCAAACATTTCAAGGAAATAGGAACGAATAAAAAGTGAAATATGCATGAAAAAGTTTTTGCCATGACATATCTGGAAGTGATTTGAATTAAATAAGACGATGGAATATGCTGGCGAAGAACTCTTCTTGAGATTCGCTGTGGTAGTGTTAAACAATGAAAACAGCAAACCTTAAATGTACTGAAAAAAAACGTTCAGGACTGGTAAATATCGTTAATTAACAGAGAGCACAAAAAGCTTAGAAGGTGACGCTTAATGCGTTAACGTTGACTCAAATACACAGACAACATGCACGTAGGGCCGACTTAGCCCAGACAACTTTAAAGAGTACAGTCCATTACTTTAAGTACTTTTATAATGATGTTTGGACACCTTGCAATTGCAACCGCACGTATGATCATGTATGTATAAACTTTACACGAAAGGGAATTTTGTCGAAGCCAGACGAAGCTTTTCGATAAGATGAAATTTCAGTTACAAGTTTTTGTAGCGGCTCTTCTCGTAAAACTAGTACTTTCCCAAGGTACAATTTTTTAAGCCAAAAGTGTCAAATCATATCCCAATCTTTTCGCATTTTTTTTAGTTGGGTTCCATATGGAGAAGACTTGTTTGCATTTATGCATTTCCTCATTGTCTATTAATATTCAAGTTTTCGTTTCTCCAGAGTGCGGAAAACGCCACTTTCTCTCTCGAGTTGTGGGTGGGGAGGATGCACCGAGGCACTCGTGGCCCTGGCAGGTGTCCCTGCGAGTTCTCAGTCTAGGTGGAAGGCTGGTGCACATCTGCGGCGGTTCGTTGATCAGAGACGAATGGGTTGTGACCGCAGCGCACTGTGTGGTGGACCAGGATGACATTCCCCGAGATCCCTCTTTTTACACCGTTATTGTGGGTAAGGTTCAGCGCAGGTTCAGTATCGGGTGAGATGCTACCATTTTTTTTTAATTTCAGGAGGCAAGGTTAAGTTAATCTATCAATTTATGAAACTGTTCTCAATTAAGAAAGTAAAGGTACAATTTGAAAGCAAAAATTTGTCAAAAAGGTTGTAACTGCTGAACGAGTTCAGGATGTGAAATCCATTTTCCACGAGCGTTGGGCAAAAAGAGAGTAATGTTATTTCGTTGTGAGCTATCCACGATTTGTATTGCCTTGTTTGCACGTATGTTGAACCACATTGTTGCACATTTGAAACCTCTCCAGGCGCACACGAACGTCTCGCCACTACGGATGTACAGCAGACAATTAAAGTGAGCGCGCTCTTTTCTCACGAGGACTTCAGTATGCAACATCTAAAAAATGACATCGCTCTTCTGCACCTAAGCCAACCGGCCAAGCTGAGCGACAAAGTCAATCCCGTCTGCCTTCCTGTCCAAGAATCTGAAATTTCAGCTGGCCACCGGTGCTATATAACAGGTATTTACTATCTGGCGGTGCAAAGGGTTGGAGAGATAACACTTGGCAGTGACAGCTTTTGAAATTCTCTACCTAAATTCTTTCATTCAGGATGGGGTCTGACTGAAGGTGGAGGCAATGTCGCAGACACCTTGCAACAGGCAATGCTTCCCGTACAGAGCCACGAGCGATGTTCCAATGAGTGGGGTAGATTAGGGGTACCAATTGACAAGAAATCCATGATCTGTGCAGGGAGTGGTAAACCAGGACAAGCAGGTGGTTCTCAAGGTGATAGCGGTGGACCATACGTATGCGAGGAAAATGGTAAATGGGTTTTGCGTGGTGCTGTGAGCTGGGGTCATCGCATGTGCAGAACTGATTTATTTAATGTCTTTGCGCGAATAAGCTCTTTCAGGGACTGGATTGATGCAAAACTTAAGGGTGAGTAAATGTTTGTACGAGGTTTAACCTCACTCAGAAAAATAACAAATTTCAATCATTTCATTCCTTTGTCTTTTTTTTAGCCCAAGTACTTCAGAAAGTTTAG